CCCCCTGCCATATCCCCTGGTGAGCTCTGACCCCGGGTGGCCTCTGGGGAACGGGGAGGTGTCGGCAGGATCCCGTTGGCGCTGATGGGCTGGTGTAGCCCTGTCGGTGTCAGCAGCCCGAGATCCCCCGGACTGGTGCAGTTCCCCTTCCCAGGCCCTGGGCTGATGCAGAGCCCCTTGGCCGCCCAGGAACAATGGGTTGGCGCAGCTCCTCTTGATACCAGTGCTATTGCTATGGGCATATCCCTTTGGAGTTAGTGGTTCCAGGCTCAATGAGTGGCACTGATGGGTCCCACGTTGTCAAACTCAGCCCCGTGGCCCTTGGGAAGGTCTGTCATGTCCCCATATGGGACAGCAGCCATGCAAAGCAGGGGTCTAGGCAGCAAGGGGCAGCTGTGGTGCTGTGAGCAGGAGGTTGGTGTCAAGGAAGAAGCTGCTGGGGGTGTCCCCTGCACTGTGCAGGGTGTTTTATGGTTTTGGAGATATATGTTGCAAGGAAGAGTGAAGCTCTTCTTTGGCTTGCCAAAGTGGTGGCAAGCCACCATCTGACAGCAGGTCAGATCCTCCTAAACGTGGAGAGGGCTGTTCCCTACATTTGGGATGAGGGGTGTGAGACCCTGCCTCTCCTCCCTGCTCATTGGGGGTCTCCTGCTCTGCAACAGGTACATCATGACAAGTGGCCGCACTATGGAGTCCACCAAGGAATTCTTCCAGAAGCATTGTTATTTTGGCTTGAAGAAGGAAAACATCATCTTCTTCCAGCAGGGCATGCTGCCTGCCCTGGGGTTCGATGGAAAAATCCTGCTGGAGGAGAAGGGCAAGATTGCTATGGCACCAGGTTAGTGATGGGAGCTGATGGGAGGGGCGCACAGGGGCGAGATGTGGTGCTGAGGACAAGCTTTTGGAGCTGGAGTCTTGCAGTGTGACGTGGCTGACGGGTGACGCAGGCTGAGAGGTGTCTGTCTTGGCAGGGAGGACCAGGGTGGGGTATGGCTGGGCTGACAACCCTCCACACCATCTCTGTGGGGAAGGAGGATGAGCGTGGGTGGCTGATGGGACTGCTGGATGTTGCTGCACCCCAATAGTTTGTTCTCTTTGCAGATGGCAATGGGGGCCTGTACCGGGCCCTGGGTGCACACGGCATCGTGGACGACATGGAGCGGAGGGGTGTGCAGAGTGTCCATGTGTACTGCGTGGACAACATCCTGGTGAAGGTGGCTGACCCCAGGTTCATTGGGTTCTGCTTGGAGAAGGGAGCAGACTGTGGGGCTAAGGTACGGTTTTGGAGCCTGGCAGGCTCTGCTTCCCTGGAGCCGAGTGGGGTCTGTCCTGCTCCTTGCCTGTCTTCCCTGATTCCTCATCCTCTGTTTTCTGGTTCACCACATTCAGAAGGGATAGCTAAGCACCAGGAGCATAGTGGTGAAGTAGCACATGTTGCCAGTCCTACCTGCCCCTTGGGTAGTCCTGCCTGCCCTTGGCACTGTGGGGGATGTGGGGCATCACTGAGCCCTGCCTGGTGCCGTTCCTCTCCTGTCTTGCACAGGAATGTGGCACTGACAGGCCCAGGGCTCAGAGGTCTCTTAGTGCCTGGGGACAAGAGGCTCCTAGGGAGTCCTGTGGAGCTCCCTGGTTCACACCTGGATGCTGGGCAGCTGTTTTCCAGGTGGCTGTGGATAGCACAGGTGGACAAGATCCTTGCCATAGGCTGCCAGCTGTCCCCAGGAGTGACATCCTGGGCCACTGGACCAGGATCTGGTGGGTGCAGCTGACACACTGAACCCAGCCCTATGTGTTGTGGATAGGACATTGCATACTCCAAGCTTTACCTAAAGACTGGCTTAACAGCCAAAGAGGCTGGTTTTGTTTACACTGGGCTTGGCTCTGGCAAACAGACAAGAGGACTTACTGGGTCTGAAGCTTTCAGAGAGCAAGCTGAGAAAGGGAAAGCAGTTCCTCCTCCTGGCTTGCACGAGAGAAAGAGGAAATAAGCAGAATGCCCTTTGTCCCTGCATGCCACCCCACCATGGTGACAGTGATGGGTAGGGATTTGCTGGGGTAGTCCTGTGCCCAGATGGAGGTATGTGGGTTGTTAGGAAGAGGAGGGAGGTCAAGTGTAGGGAGATGGCTCTACTGAGCCGGCAGCCTCCTGGTTGTGCACAGCAAGCTGGCTAAAAATATCCGTGCCCTCTGCCAGCTGCACATGGGCTTGGTGCCAGATCCTGCCCGCACCCTCTGGGTGTGTCTGACACCCTGTCACCCAGTTCTGCCATCAACCTCCTCTAGTCCCCATTGCCAGAAGTACCTGAGAGGGGAGGGCTCCAGCATCCCTATCCCTGCACTATCCCAGCACAGCAAAAAGCCTTGGCAGGGGATGCTGGGTACGAGGGAGTATATTTGAAGTGCTGGGCTTTGAGTGTCTCTCTGACAGTCCTTCCCTTGGGCAGGTGGTGGAGAAGACCAACCCCACGGAGCCGGTGGGTGTGGTGTGCCGAGTGGATGGTGTGTACCAGGTGGTGGAGTACAGCGAGATCTCCCTGGCCACTGCCCAGAAACGGGGCCCGGACGGGCGGCTGCTCTTCAACGCAGGCAACATCGCCAATCACTACTTCACCACTGCCTTCCTGAAAGATGTAGTCAAGTAAGGGCCTGCTAGGGTGCTGCTGGAGTCCTGGTGCCAAGTGGAGTTGACTGTACCTTGCTTTCTGTTGGCTAAGCTCCAGCTGTTTGCAGGTGTGCTGATATGAGGCCCCTGATATCCAGCCTCTGCACATGTGGCCTGACCCTTGCCTCTCCACACAGTCTCTTCCTTGAGATAAGATTTCTCCTGGCCATAGCTAGATGCAGCTTCCAGAGTGCAGGCGTGTGGAGCCGTCCTCTCCTGGCTGCCATGGGGTTGAGCAGCCTGTGCCTCAGAGAGGCTCTCCTGCTGCAGCAGTGTCTGAGATGGAGACGTGGCTTGCTCAGGCAAGTGACATCTCTTTCTTGGCCTGTTGCAGCACTTATGAACCACAACTGCAGCACCATGTAGCTGAGAAGAAGATCCCACATGTGGACATCACTACAGGGCAGTTAATCCAACCCGAGAAGCCCAATGGGATTAAGATGGAAAAATTCGTCTTTGACATCTTCCAGTTTTCCAAGTATGTCCTTTTCTCTCCACGGGGCAGAGGCTGTTGGCTCTGCCTTGGGCAGCTCTGAGAGCCTCCGGGGCGGTGCCAGGGGTGTGCCCACTGGTGATGCCCTGATACCAGGATAAGATGCCAGCTCCTGTGCTTTGCCGCAGCAGTGGATGGTTGTGCTTGGAGATGAGCAGCAGGAGGGACAGGCGCTGTGTGCTTCTTGCTTGGCTGAGCCCTGCTTCTGGGCCAGAAGAACATCTGCTGACTCTACAGCCCAGGCCCTCCCTTCCCTCCTTCATGACTGTAAAAAACAGCCCATGGGTGTGGGCTGTGGGAGGGCCATGGCCCCAGCTCAGCCACCCTGGCAGGGGAGAAGTGATGAAGCAGCCACGATTTCCAAACCTGACCCTCCCATGCTCTGTTTCCCCCTAAGGAAGTTTGTGGTGTACGAGGTGCTGCGTGAGGACGAGTTCTCTCCCCTGAAGAACGCAGACAGCCAGAATGGCAAGGACAACCCCACCACAGCCCGACATGCCTTGATGTCCCTGCACCACTGCTGGGTTCTCAATGCAGGGGGGCACTTTGTGGACGAAAACGGCACACGCATCCCTGCCATCCCTCGGTGAGTTGCTGCTCCTGGCACTCCTGCATCCTTTTTTGGGCTGGATATAAGGCATGAGGCAGTCCCCAGCCCTTCTGCATTTCACTGCTCCTGATAACAGTGTCACTGAAGTGACCAGCTATGGGGCCTTTCTCCTGGATGGTCCATGGGGCAGAGCTGGATGTGGGCTGAGTGGTGGCCACAGGAGCAGTGCTTGCTCACTCAGCAGCAGCTTTCCTTCTTGATTCAGCATCTCTGAACCAAATCCTGCCAGACTCTCTTGCACAGCAAAGGTTGCCTCTGCAGGGAGGAGGTGGCTCCCTAAAGCCCAAGCACACCAACAGATCCATACAGCAGCCAGGCTGGAGTCAGGGCCACAGGACCCTCCCCACAACCCCTCTTTGGAGATCAGCAAAGCCCAGACTTGTTCTGCTGTGTTTTTTCCCTGCCTCGCTAACCCTTGTCTATTCCCATGTAGCATCCCAAACGGAAGGTCCGCTGCCACGCCAGCAGATGTCAAAGACAAGTAACTATACCGTGCAGCTTGCGTGGTGGCGGGGCTGTGCTTAGGAACTAATGGGCTGTAGGCCAGGCTGTGGGTGCGCGCTGGGACAGGTGCCCGCAGCCACTAACGGGGCTGGGGGGCTCTGGGCCGCATGCTGGGAGCGGGGCACGTCCCACAGCTCGTCCCCGTGGGTGCTGCTTCTCATGGTGGCGGGCAGTAGGCAGCGTCTGCTCCCTCCCAGGCTCCTTTCCGCAGGGGCAGCCAGCAGGGGTGACTGGATGGGGCTTGTGCTGCTGGTGCGGATGCGGGGTGGCAGCAGCCTGATGCTGACTGCCCACGGCCCCCAAAGGACACCCCACAGGCGGGATGCTGTTGGGAAACATGCTGGCACGTCCCTTCGATGACACCCCCCTGTTAATCACACCATGGCACAGCACAGGCTGGACTGGTCCCGGCCGGTCCCAGTGCTGGAGATGGCTGCTGTCTCCCGATGTCCGCCAGGCGTCCAGGCAGATGGAAACGGGATTGAAAGCGTTGAGTTAACGTCAAGCAGGCTTTGATGTAGCATGTGTGAATCACAGCACGGCGGCCAGCTGTGCTTTGTGTGACTTCAGCTCTTGAGGTTGGTACATCCAGACCATGACACCAGGAAAAGCCCCTGGCTCAGCGCCTGAAAGTTTACAGGAATACACGGGAGAGCTTTAACACTTCTGTTAACAGCAGCATGTTCTGTAGGCACGGGGCTGGTGGGGTGTCTGGGACTTGGTCTTCGAGTCATTCACCAGCTCTAAGCAAGCTTGTTACCTTCGCCCGCTTCAGAAGTTGTATCTTATAGTACTTTCTGGTGAGATATTCCTAGGATCTCTGTTTTAATTCCAGACTCCAAGTGTTTACAGGCTTATGACTGGGCCATCACACTATAACATAGGAAGAAGGATGCACTTTATCCTACATTTACTCTTCATTGCCAGTTGATGTCAATTTTTTTTTTTTTTTTTTTAACAATTATCTGGAATCTAACTCCCAAGCCAAACACAAGTATGAGGGCTGGGTTAGGATGGGTGAGTTTTATTTACAGCTGGGACAGGAGGGGTGCTGAGTGAGTCCGTGGCAGCAGGGATGAGCTTTAACCAAAGTGAAGGGAGCATTGTCACGGATGACATCCTGCCATGCCTGCGTGGCTGGGAAGAGGCACCCTGGGGTGCTGCTGTGGCTCCTTGTTGGCTCCACGTGGATGCACTCCCTATCCAGACTTATATACCAGCTGGATCCAGGGAGTATCTGGGAGGGGGTCCTATGAAGGCTAGTGACAGCAGGAGCAGCCTTGGGGCCCCCACACAGCCCCCTGCCCAGCAGTGCTGCTGCAGTGGCCAGTACTGGTGTGTTCTGATGTTTTGCTCACCAGTGCCAGCGCACCGGCAGAACAAAGGAGCTGAAACAGTTGATCTAAGAGGCAAAGGCAGGAGGAGCAAACAGTGCTGCAGGGAGCATTTCTGAGCGAGCAGACAGGCTTACTCTCCATCCTCTGATTGTGCTTTAAGCAGGAGAGGGCTGAAAGAAAGACCAGTTATAGCCAGCAAATGGGAAGGTGCTGTGTGAGTGCATCTGCCATCACCCCCAAGGGTGCAGGAGGAGGAGGAGGAAGGAGTTTGCATGCAGCATCAAAAATAGTGGGGCTGGGGACACAGGCACTGCCGTAGTTGCACACATGGAAAGGCATCATGAAACCCACATCTAAAGCTCTCTTCCCTTTCAGTCGCTGCTGGTATCTAAACTTTCACTTGCACCTCTGTGGAGAGCACGCAAGGCTTGACTAACCCAGGGCAGCTCTGTGCTGGTGGCAGCTCTGTGCTGACCCCCCCCACCTGGCATCAGCAAGATCTTGGGCCCCGTCCATGTCCCCTGGTGGGATGTAACTAACTCTCCTGGCTTTTTCTCTGCAGCTTGAAGGATGCAAACGACCTGCCAATCCAGTGTGAAATTTCTCCCCTCGTGTCCTATGGAGGAGAAGTGAGTACTGACTCTCCAGAGCTGAAGAGGTCCTTGCAGATGGACTAGACAGGTGGAGGGGCTGGCAGGGCACACATGTGAGGGGATAAGCCATGGAAGTGTGACTTGAATTCACTGTGGGGCTTTTTGAGACATTGTCCCCCAAGCTGCTAGCCCAGGAGGGGACCAGAGCCACCTGTGAGCAACTCAGTGGGTCAGCAGAGCAGATGATGTGTGGTGTGTTCCTAATGAGCCCCTTTGTCTTCCTGTAGGGTCTGGAAAAGTACGTGAAGGACCGAGAGTTTCGCGCACCTCTGATTATTGATGAGGATGGGATCCACGAGCTGGTGAAGAATGGGATGTAGTGGCAGCGGGGTGCCCAAGCAGGGCTGTCCATCCCGCCAGAAACTCAGACACATGAAGGTTTATAGCTGTGACTGGTTGGGGCTGGTCCTGCTCACTCCAGCCTTGTGCAGGGGAGGATGTGGCCCACTTGGTTCTCAGCACGTTGTATGCTTCTATTTATATTTTAATTTAAAAACCAAACACTTTATGGATTCCCCTGCCAAGAAGCACAGCTATGGCATGGTGCTCTTTGCACTCCAGGCTGTGGGCATTTATTTTTAAACATGTATATAGTAGTACTCATTGTACATGCAGAGAGAGGATTTTTATGGTACGGGGCTGGGATTAATCTTGAATTTTTATTTTTCTTAAATCTACATGACTATTTTTTTTTAATAGGGTCCTTGTCATTGCCCATGTCCCTCCTTTTAGTCATCCTTTCTACGTTGCACAACTGGAAGCACCCAATTAAACTCTGAGTCCCTCCTGTTTGTCATCTGGTGGTGTTTGAGTGACGATGACTTTCCACAGAGGCTCTGCTCGTGGTGTAGAGAGCTGACTGTATCATACCATGTGCTCTGCCAGTGCAGCAAGGGTTGCTGCCTGGGGTGGCTGCAGGCAGGTCCTCTGGCCTGCAGTGCTTGTTTGGGGCATTTCTGGAGGAAGCTGAGAGTTGCACTTTCCTCTTGTATTCCTGCCGACAGTGGCAAGCCTTGAGCAGGTAGGAACAGGTGGGTGTGCTGGGCTGCCGGAGTGCTCAGGGTGAAGCCAGCCTGGCATGGAACCCTCCAGCAGCGCTGTGTGCCCTCTGCTTTTCCTGAGAGGGCTCCTTCCACAGCACACTGCTGTGGAGTGTGGCGTCCTGATGCCCCCGGGCAGAGCAGCTGTGCTGCCTCCTCCTGTTTGGGAAAAGAAGGAGCTTGGCCAGCTCCTCTCCTGATCCTGTCCCATCACAGCCCCGGTGTGGTTGGTCACTGCCTCCCACTGCCCCCTGGCTGCCTGGAGAGGGATTTTCCCTTGCAGGGTTGCGAATGGGACCCAAACCTCTCTCCCCCAGGGGAAGTCACGGAGTCCTGTGAGTACTAAGGTGGCTGTTGGGCATCCTAGGCTCAGCCAAGCACTTAGTTTCCCAGGCAGTGTGCCTGGAAGCCAGGGCCACGCGGGGGGTCCCGGCTGGCGCTGTGCCTGCTGGTGGCTCTGCACTGGCTGTCTGGGCTGTGTGTGGCCGAGGCTGTGGCTTCTGGCTCTGCAGACCACCACCTTTGCGTTAGGTCCTGGGACAGAGCAGCGCAGCACTGGCTGCTGCCAAGTTATTTGAGTACTGATTCCAGGTAGCAGGAGGGGAGTGGAGCAGAGCAGAGCTGGCTGGCATTTCTGTGGGTGTGCACATAGGGCAGCCTGTGCTTCTCCCTGCCAGCTGATCTGAGGCAGCACAAGGGGGCACACTACAGAGCCCTGCAGCAGGCACTGCTCTCACCCGTTCCCTGCCTGCCCTCCCTGCCAGCCTGGAGGCAGCTGTGCTCTAACTCTGGGCACCCCTGGCTCAGCTGGCACTGCAGCCCCTCTGGTAGCAGTGGTGAGGGTCACCAGAACTGCTGTGGGCAGTGGATGGCTCACCCTGCCTGACTCAGTTGGTCTGTCTGGAGAGCAGACAGGCTGGAAGTATGGTGAGGAGGTTGTGTTTAGGAGCAAGCCTGCAGCCCTGGAGCTGTGGGGTGTCCTGCAAGACAGGAGAGCTTTTTAGGGAGCTACTGGCCTGCTGCCAGGTGTGATGCTTCCCTCCCACAGTGTGGCAGTGGCATAAAATACAGCCAAAACACTAGTCTGAAAAAAAAAAGTTGCTTTTCAATTTTTTTTTTAATTGTGGTTTTTGCTATTTCACAAAAATTAATGCGAGCCCTTTATTATTATTATTTTCTCCTTGCTGCGTTGCATAGTCAATGGCTGCAGTGCCAAGCTAGTGCCTGGAAATGATGTAAAACCGCCACCTCAGCGTGGAGCTCGGGGAGTTGGAGCGCCGATTCCATGCCGTGTGCCAGGCAGGTCGGCACTCCGGCCCGTGTCCTGGCCGTGTGTGCCCGCGCAGGAGTCTGATACCCTTCCCACCAGGGGCCCGGAGAGGGGTAGTCCATGTGGGTCCTTCTGGGACAGTGATGGGGTCTTATGGAGTGTCTCCACTGCCCACATTTTGGGGGTGTCCCCCGTGGACCCACGGTGCGGGAGGAGGGTCCTGGACACACGTGCCATCCTGCAGCCGCGGGGGCGAGTGCCGGAAAGCAAAACGCTGCCTATTGCTTTAAGTTCCCCTGCCGGCCACGCGGATCTTTTTATTTTTTCTCTTGCGCTATGAATGGGTTTTGCTGTAAATTATAGCTTTGCGCACATTCCCTCGGGCCGAGGAAAATAACCTCCGCCGAAAAGCCAGCCCGGATTGCTGACTGGCTCCCCCTCTCCGCTCCCTAATTGAAACCAAATGTGCAAGATGTAGGATTGTGGGATTTCTGGACGGCTCCCAGGAATCCGCAGAATGCAAAAACGCTCCCAGAGGCATCTTGCATCAGCCCGGGGAAGTTCGCTCCTCGCCTGGCTCCCCCGGCCCAGGCGAGGGGCGAGGAGCCCACCCGCCTGCCGCCGCCTCCCCGCTCCGGTGAGTTGCTCTTGGGTACGTGGAGAGGCTGGAGAGGCGTGTGCCCCTCGTAGGTTTGGGATTTTGGTGGGATGTGGGGCGAGCTGTGCTCTGCGGCGGGACCTCGGCAGAGGGGCTGGGGTGTGGGTTTACCTGGTAAGGGGCTGGGGTGTGGGTTTACCTTGTAAGGGGCTGGGGCAGAAACAGGGCGGTGTTTCGCTTTGGGACATAACTTTTGGCCACTTCTCACCAGTTGTCCCCCCACTGCCAGTGTTTCCCCCCGTGCTTCGTGCCGGGCCAGCATTTCCTGGTGTCCCTCCTCAGCTCCCGCCTATGTGTCTGTTGGCAGAGCCGGCGGCAGCGCTGGCCAGCCAGAGAGGCCCTGCTGTCCCCCAGCCAGGCACCAGGTCACACCAGGGAGGGGACACAGGGCCACTGGTCTGGTACTTTTGAGCGTCGTGCCCCGTCCTGGTGCTGGGAACTCACTTGTGGCTTCCCCAGCCCGCGTCGTGCCTCGGAGCGATGCTGTACCCTGCGCTGTGGCCGGGGAGAGGGGCAGATAACTGCTGCTGCGCCGCTGGCCGCAGCACCGCGGATTGGAGGGCCTGCGAAGTTTCGGCTGGCGTGGCGTGCTTGCTGCAGCAGCATCCACAGCGCCGTGTCCCCAGGCCCCCTGTCCATGGGCTGTGCTCCTGGCAGGTCTCCGTAGGGCAGCTGGCAGCCACGGGGATGTGCCGGTTGCTCCTCGCACCCCGGACGGCTGCGATGCCCCGGGCTGAGCCAGGCAGCCCGTGGCTGGGGAGGCGCTTGCTGCTGAAGAAAGTGGGGCTGCATCCAGCCTGGAGAAGGTCTAAAATGTTATTTTTGGAATGGTGGAGGACTACGGGTCCCGTCATGCTGCGCTGTGCTCCTGCCAAGGCTGTGCTGGTGGCACAGCATGCTGGGGGCTGTAGTGCCCGCTGGGGTGGGGATCCTGAACCCCCTTACCCACACACTGCATGTCTTGGGCCAGGGTCACAGACTGCCACTCCAGGAAGGACGTTCCCTACAGCATGGCCCTGGCATGTCCTGCCATCCCAGCAGGAGGGGAGCCCCATCCCCATGCAAGGATGGGGAGTTGCAACAGGAGCCCTGGCAGTCCTGGGAGACCCATGTCCAGGACCTGCTGCTATCCAGCCCCTCTCCATGGTTGATGCTCCTCCAGTGCCAGCATGGGCAGCAGTGCCCACCTGGGAAGCGAGCTGGGGATCTCACCAGCTGGCATGGGTGGAGGGCAAGAGGAACCACAGGTCAGATGGGGTTTGTCTCTTAACAGATGTGGATTTACTTTTTCCCCTGGTAATTCTCTCTGGTTATTTCAGTAGTATAAGAAAGGAGGGAAATAAAAAGGGAAAACAAAACAAAAAAAAGCAGTGGCCAAGGAAAACTCAAAGCCCAGGCGATGCCAGGGAGGAGCTCCAAAAACTCTCTGCACTAAAAATTTCCAGTGATTGAATATTTTCAGCAAACATTTTCTGTCAAAATGTTGCAAAGCCACCCCTTTTGCAGGGCTGGTGGAACAGAAATGATTTCCAACTGGGTTGCCAGTACTACTGGGCCAGTTTGACCACGTGTCCCTGAGCCCCCAGCCTCAGCACCTGAGCCACTGTCTCCCCAGTGTCCCCCAGCCCCACTCCCCTGAGGAGCGACGAGCACTTCCCAATGGTTACGTGGGGATGATTTCCCTATATTAGACTAAATGTAAATGCATTCCCTGCAGGAGATTACAGCATCTGGTATCCTGATGCTTAAAGAGTTTACTCAGCCTGAAAGAATAGTGGGGAAAAAAAAATATCCCTGGATATTTTTTGGAATGCAGAAGGAAATTGAGATTTTAATTTTGGGGGAACTGGCCATCATCAAACACAGGAGCCTCCTGCGTACCTCTCGGCAATGCAGCTGAAATTCCCAGTTGCAGCTGAAATTCCCAGTTGCAGCTGAGTTAGTTGCAACTAGCTAAAATTTACCAGCTGAAAAAAAAGAAACAACATATTATTCTTTAAAAAAAAAATTTAAAAAAAAATGGAAAAAAAAGGGGAAGAATCACTCCAAGTGCAGGTGTTTATTTGTGCCTACTGCAGAGCTCGTGGTGTTTAGCAGAGTCCCCCAGGAATCCAGCAGTATGCTGTGGGGTGCAGAGAGCCTCTAGTAGGATGCAGGTGGCAGCTTCTGGGGTTTTACATGCCCCTTGGGTGCTGGCATGGTCTCAGCAAACCCCTGTCTTGCTCCTGCTCTGCCAAACCCTGGCTTTGGCAGTTACCAGGGAATCATATCCAGCACCTCCCAGCTGTACTTTGTGGGATAAAGGCATCTGATGTGTGGCAGATGGTTTGGGTTGGGTTTGGGTTTTTCTTGGTGGTGGGGACAAGGTTGTGGGACCCTGTGTGGGGTCCCACACAACCAAACACCCACCTGTGGGATCACTGGTGCTGGGCTGGCCTTGAGGATGTGCCAGCCCAGCCCAGACATTGCTGTTGCAGCGGGCTCGGGTGGGATTTATCCCAGCAGCCAGGTCCCACTTGGCCAGGAGCTATGGTCCCTTTAACCCTCAGGTTAGTAAGTTGTTCTCTAAAGTCTAACGTGCATGTAAATTAGATTAAAATAGCCTTGTTTAATAAAAAGAAGACTAATCTGCATCTGGTGCTTCTGTGAAGTGCCCCCTTGGCAAATAAGAGGAGGGGCAGAAGCCCAGGAAGCCTAGGGCAGGGCTGGTGGCATATAGAGGTGTCCCTGGTGCATCCCCTGGTGTGGTGCCAAGCCCTGTGGTGGTTCCCCAGAGGTGTGTGGGTGCAGTAGGAGCTTCTCAGGCTCTGGGGATTCCTGGCAGCTGGCCAGAGCCAGGCTGATGAATGTGGTGAAAGCACTGACACAAAGGCAGGCACGTCCTGGGGGGATCCCACTGTGCTGTGGGCTGTACCCTCCGAGGAGGAGCCCTGCCAGCACTGGCACTTTTTCTCCCCTTGCTGCAGGCTGAGCCCCATTGCTAGGACCCCAGTCTCCTCCAGCTCCATCCCATGCTCCCCTCGAGGCAGTGGGTATAAGCTGGCTCCCATGCCCTCTGTCACACCTTTCTCTGTCATGCATGTCCCTGAGATCCACTCTGCCACAGGGAGCTGTCACAATAAATACACTGTAAATCTCGGGCGAGTATCTGCTTTCCTCTCTCCAGAGCCAGCAGGCAGGGAAACCGCCTGTTGAAACGTGCTATTATTGTCTTATATGATGGGGTTGTGCAAATTCTTACTTTCAAAGCCGTCCAAGGGTGGGCGGCCCAGCCGGAGCCTTTCTGCCTGGCGCTGGAGCCGGGTGGCAGTGGCCCCAAGCAGAGCTCAGGGAGGTTCGTGTGGGTCAGAGCAGAGCCCTGGGAGCCTTATGTGGGTCCTGTGGCCACTACATGTGGCCAGCTCCAGGGATTTGGCGTACCATGGCTCCCAGGGATGGTGGTGGAGGGGATGGGACACCGGGACCCCTTTGACCACCATCACATATCTGAGGTCTGGGGCTCCGTGCCTCCTCCGGGCTGAGATGGGACATGGGGGCTCATGCAGGGGAAGTGCTCCCATTCTCAGCTGGCTGCCCCAAGCAGGGATGACATTTCCACGTGGCTCAGCTGCCTCAGTGTGATGAGCCCTGTCTCTGTTTCCACAGGACTGCCGACATGCCGGCCACCCCCAGACCAGCTCTGCTGCTGCCACTGCTGCTGCTGCTGCATGTCCCACAGGCTGCAAGAGCCCAGGTCAACCCTGGTAAGTGAGACAGGCTGTGGGTGCCATGAGGGGCATTTCCCTGGTCTGTGCTCCTGCCAGGATGTCCAAGTTCGGGCTCATCTCCATCATCTCTGGGAGCAGTATGTGATGGCCCCCCAAGCCTGCACCTGCCTGGGCACACTGCTGTCCTGCATATGGCTTGGCCACCAGCAGTGACCCAGAGAGCTCCCTCTGTGTGCCACGGGCGCTGTCCTACCCCCATCAGTTAGTGGGACACTGGGGAACAGGCAAAGCACTGCAGCTGGAACCCTGGGTTCTGGGTGGGGCTCTTCCCTATTGGGGGCTCGTTGACCCTACTCAGTTTTGAGGCTGCCAGGTGCCAGGGCATTGTTTTCTGCTGCTGTGTTGTGCTTTCTTTGGTGGTTTTGCAGCAAACCAAGGCTGGCTTTAGTGAAGTGGCTTGACTGGGTGCCTGGCTTCTACTTCGAAACCACAACACTGTGCTGGCTGTCAGCGGGAGAAGTGTGTTTAGGTGGCTGTTTCTGCAGGGCTCAGCCCTATCCTGTGTTGCAGGGATGAACACAGCCTAGGCTCCTTCAGCATGCCAGGGTTTCCCAGGGTCATCCCTGTAACAAATCCCTTCAAAGTCTTCTTCTATGGGAAGGGGTCGCTGAGTCTTCCCCAGAGGCTTCATAGTGCTTACTAAGGGAGGCAATCCTGTTTCTCCTGTAGACATCTAGGCCTGGCAGCACTGGTTTTGCCTGGCCAGGATTTTTATTACCTTGGGCAAAGGAACTGAGCTGGCTCCATGTTTGGCAAGAATTAAATGAGAATTCGGTGGGAGCTGTGCTCTGCAGAGCATCACAAGTGGGAGAGCTGGAGACAAGAGGTGCTCCCACTGTGCCAGTGCTCATGATGAAGATGCACTCATCCCTCTGTCTGATGCAGAGCATGGTCCTGGGGATGGCAGCACGCTGGGATGCACGTTCTTTGCTGGTGCAGCACCAGGAGAACCGGAGGCCATGGGGGTAGGAGTCGGCTTGGGCACAGCATCCTGCGGGTCCCTGCCTCCCCGGTGCGGGTGTTTGCTCGGGGTGGTGTGTGGAGGGAGTGCGGTGGGCTGGAGCCAGCGGCCAGACAGTAAACACAGCCAAACAAGCCGGCCTTTCAGCAGTGCTCTTGGCAGCCAGGCGTGAAAAAATAACTCCTGGGAAGCAGCGTGGATGTGGTGCTGGGGGGAGCCGGCTGCCACTCGGGGACGCAGCCTGCCTGCCACACCGGGTACTTTTCCACTCGCAGCCAGGGTGGGAGCAGAGCTGGTGATGGGAACTGAGGGGTCAGCACGGAAGGCGAGTGCTCACCTTTGTCACTTGTTCCCCAAGGCAGGTAGGGGGAGCAGCAGGGCAGCATGGCACAGTTGCTGCAGGTGAATTTTTTGGACGAGTGGCCTCTGGAGTGAGCTTTCGGGGTTCCCCCAGAACAAGGAGCACGTGGATAGTGGTGCCAGCTCACAGGCTCTCTACCGCAGCCGAGGTGCCTGCCAGCAGGACTGACAGGATCTCCAGGGACAGGGCCTGGTGTGCCTATTAGCCCCTGGAGCACTGCCTCCCCTTGCTCCTGCTTCGCTTTGAGCTGGGCTGGCATCCACTTCTGGCCAGCAGCTCCATTTGCTCAGGCAGGTGTTGTGTTGGCAGGACCACACCATCCTGCTTTGTTTTCTCTGTAAGCCAGAGGGATGGGGAGTGCTGTGCCGGGGCTGGAGTGCCAGCCGTGTGGTGGATGTGCCCCAGCCCATGCCATTCTCAACACATATCTGGGCTGGGGAAGTGCCTACTCAGTGTCCTGCTGGTCTCGTTACAGCGGTGTGTCGGTACCCCTTGGGAATGTCGGGCGGGCACATCCCTGACGAGGACATCTCAGCCTCTAGCCAGTGGTCCGACTCCACAGCTGCCAAGTACGGCCGGTGAGTGTGCGGACCCTCCTGCAACAGCCATGGCAGGGTCTGGGCTGCCACAGAGGGGAGAAGGGGGACATGGGGCTGGCTTTGGCTTCCTGCAAACAGCTCCTCCACTGTGTGTTCACAGGCTGGACTCGGAGGATGGTGATGGAGCCTGGTGCCCCGAGACTGCAGTGGAGCCAAATGACCTGAAGGAGTTTCTGCAGATTGACCTGCACGCCCTGCACTTCATCACGCTGGTGGGCACCCAGGGGCGCCACGCCGAGGGCCATGGCAATGAGTTTGCCCCCATGTATAAGATCAACTACAGTCGAGACGGCACCCGCTGGATCTCTTGGAGGAACCGGCATGGGAAGCAGGTGAGGAGGCGGGCGAGTGCTGCACTGGGTGGTTAGTGAGGAGGCTCCTCCTGCCCATCTCTACCATGCTTCTCTCTCCCCAGGTGCTGGATGGAAACACCAACCCCTATGACATTGTCCTCAAGGACCTGGAGCCGCCCCTCATTGCCCGCTTTGTCCGTTTCATCCCCGTCACTGACCACTCCATGAGCGTCTGCCTGCGGGTGGAGCTGTACGGCTGCGTCTGGCTGGGTGGGTGGTGCAGTCTTGTGCTTGTTCCTCTGTCCCCAGAGCCCAGTGAAGGGGCTGGCCATCCCAGTGGGTTCTATCTGTCCCTCTGGGGGCTGGCAGGGCTTTGGTATTGGCAGGGTGTCCACCTACTCACCCTCCCCTCCCTGCAGATGGGCTGGTGTCCTACAACGCACCAGCCGGGCAGCAGCTCATCCTTCCTGGGGGCACCGTCATCTACCTGAACGACTCGGTGTACGATGGGGCGTTCGGGTACAGGTGAGGACTGGGTACCACACCGGGCAGGAGGGGTTGGGGCTGCTTCTTCCCTGCATTGTCAGGCTGATGTGCTGATCTTCAGCAAAGCAAATGCTTGGAGTCTCCCTGAAGTGGGGGACACGGCCAGCTTGGGGAGGATGCACATCACCAGGGGGACAGTATGATGGGGCAAGCACCCCTTGGATTTACGCAAGCTGCACCTCACCTTCAGCACCCCACAGCCTTTTCCAGAGAGAACATCAATAACTAAACCCCTTCCTGAGTGTCCCAGGGGCTGTGAAGAGCTGCTGAGGGAGTGCTGGGTGGTGGCAGGTTTGTGGGGTTGGCAAGAGTCACACTTCCTCCCCCCCTCAC